AAAAACAAGACAGAGCAAAACCAAGCAACAATGTACAACAAAACAGCAACAACAACAAACCACTGACAAAGAACAAATAAAAACACAACAAGAAAGAAAAGCTTGTAGTTAGTTCAAGGATTGCTGGCCTTTAGGAATTTTTTCCAGTCCAGTCTGTTGGGGCACCACGCCCTGGCCCCAAAGTCCACCTTTAGCATTCACTGGGAACCTTGCTGTCTTTTATACCAAAATAAATGTCTCCCAGCCTCTAAGCACGCCCTGAGTCTCCCTAGCCCAGGCTCTGTAAAGCCTCTGTTGATGTATCCTTTCTGTGGTCAAAGACTTGTCCCTGCTCCATCCATTTCTGCTTGGTCACCTTCCCCAGGGCTTTTTTTTTAAGGAGGAGGAAATCAACTGAGTTAAGACTCAATAATGCCAATCAAGGTGGTGCAGCGTGACCTTCCCCAGGAGCTATAAAAGTCACCAAACAGGGCTGAAATTGGAATGGGTAGCAATTGCTCCTTTGACTTTTAGAAAGAATCTTTAGAGAAATTATCTAGAACAACATTGAGTTTGTCTAGTAACAAAGCCGTCACATACATTAAAAGCTTCCTCCAGCTGTAACCAACCTAAACACCCTGGCCTAGAAAGAGGGTGGCAATAAATTAAGGGAGGAAAGCCAGTGGCAGAGCAGCATGTGTGTAGAATCCCATTCATGCCCTGACAGATGGATTTGTAATACATATCCACAAGAGGACGGCCAAAACTTCATGGGAAAATGGAACGAAAAGATCATTGATTCCTTTGGCTACTAATGTTTGGAAGTCCCCTCAAGTCTGGCTTTATTGGGTTTTACAGATACTGCATTTTTTAACAAACCGAAGGTCGGTGGTGTGATTGAGCACATCTATGGGTGCCATTTTTCCAACCTTACATGCTCCCTCCATTGTCTCTGCAGGTCCTATATTGGTACTTCTCACAATAATCCAAACCTTTTCACAATGCTATAACCCACTTCATAGACTATGGTACACTGTAAATATAACTTTTATATGTACTGCAGAACCAAAACCACGTGGTGAGTCACTTTATGGCAATATTTGTGCTATTGCAGACGTCTGGAACCACACCCCTCAATAGTGCTGAGGAAGGCCTGTGCTGTGCGTATGTGTGGGTGTGTATACAGTGTATACACATAAATATATATATGTATACACATAAATCCACAGCTCATTCAACTTCCTTCCCCACCTTATGGGGGAAAAATACATATGTGTGTGTATACACATAGACATGTATATATACTCATACACACATGCACACACACATCCATATACACATACATACACACACATATATATGAGAGAGAGGATGTCTGAAGCTGTGTTCCCCCCAAATGGACAAATATAGTGTTGAAAAGATCCAGGGGGCCTGCAAAAGCAGGTACCTACACTTTATCTTGGATTATGGACTATCATACAAGTTTTTCATTGCCAGTGAGTGCCAAGTGATTTTCTTTGCGGAAACCAATGGGCACACAGCAGATTCTTCTCCAAGGTTCATGGGGAGGAGTGAGACTGGGGCCGGAGGGTTCGACGGAAGCTGGAAGAGGAGAACTGCTTGTGTGTCATTTGAGCTTTCATTATAAATGTGCAGGGGCGGGGCTTCAGAGAGTCCGTGGGAAAATGGAATTGACTGATCATAGAATTTCCTTGTGACCTCTTTGAGGGCCCCTCAGGTATTATACGAATTTTTAAAAGAAAGACCACTGTTTTGTCATGAGAAATGTTAACTAGAAAGTAACAATTCATTTGGGGGACTATTATTGAAAGGGGCAATCATATGAAAAGGTTTTTTTTGTTTTTTTCCCCCTTGCCATGAAAAACATGTCAAGTTCCCACAGCAGTGGCACAAAGTTGCCGCGTGGGAAGCCTGACTTCTCTCTCCTCTGCGAGACGGAAAGCTGTAACAACTCGTCTCTATCCCATACTTAGGGAATGTGATAAAATCCAAGCCAAAAAAATCATCTCCAGGGAGTCTGTGCCGATTCCCAGCAATCCCATAGGACAGAGTAGAATTGCCCCTTTGAGGTTCCGAGCCTGCAATACTTTATAAGATTAGAAAGCTTCATCTTTCTCCTGCAGAGTGCCTGCTGGGCTCTGGCCATTGCTCATTCACCTGCCTTTCCCACCTCATGCTCATCCTCAAAAGGAGTTTCTTCTTATAGCCGCTCTTCATTCCGTTCCAGAACACCTTGGCGTACTGGCCAGGTTTTCTATAATGGCCTGTTTTTGAGTGAGGACCTGACAGGCCTTTCTCTCTAGAAATCCATTCGACCATTTCAGGCTTCCCTGTTGCGACTGTCCTTTCAAGCTGCCATCGGAAGTCTTGAGATTGTCAGTATCCATTGTACATGGTTCATTCTACCCCTCTTCTCTTTCTCCTCTGCCGGCGAATATGTTTGGCTCTGCAGCTGAAATAAATGTCTTCCTCCAGGTGAACCTGACTGGGAAGCCTCTGAGAAAGCCACCAGCCAGATTGAAGAAACTTAAGATCAAAGGGGAGGTGAGGGACTTCACCTTGAAGGACATCCAAGAGAAGATGCAGGCGGCAGAGGGGCGCAGGAAGGTATGCAAGCTCTCCCTCCTGCTGGGGCTCAGGCCCACCTGCTGCTTCATAAAATGGGCCTTATCAGCAACTCTAGGACAAATTCCATAGATTTGTATTAAGTCATTATCGCTAGGCCTTTCAACATGAGGCAGTGGTGGTTCAGTGATCGAACTCTTGCCTTTCGTGCAGGAAAACTGAAAATGAAACTCATTGAGAGCTCACGGCAAATGCATAAGACAGGTCAATGCCGACTCATAGCAACCCGCTAGGATAGGGTAGAACTGTTCCTGTTAGTTTATAAGACTGAAACTGTTTACAGAGTAGAAAGCCTCATCTTTCTCATAAGGATCAGCTTGTGGATTAGAACTACTGACCTCATAGCTATCAGCACAGAGCGTCACCACTACACTATCAGGAACTCTGTGCAGGAACACATTCTCTGACCTACCATCCTCCCTGACCATTTGAGAAGCAAGAGGTGCATCTAGAGACAATGTCGAGAGTGGGGCTCAGCAGCTGGACCTCTGTCTATGGACAGAGATGGGTTAGGGGGCAGGGAGAGGCGGGGAGCAAGCAGAATCTCCAAAGTCTAAGGGAATGAAAGACCCAGGTTTTCCAGTTCAGGGGATACAATCCAATACACAACAAAGACTGTCCCTTGTTGTTGGGTATCTGGCCCCAGGGCAGTTAACTCACTGCCGTGAAGTCATTCTGGCTCACAGCACCCTGTCCAGCAGAGTGCTAACCACTGCCCCTGGGATTGCTGAGACTTTACACCCACACAGCAGCAGCCGCCACAGCCTCATCTTTCTCCCAACGAATGGCTGGGGTGTTTGAACGGCCGACTCATTAGGCTGCCCAAGCTTCTTCTCAGCAGTTAGGATGAAGGAGTGTAAGAATCTGATCAGGACAGTGGTTGGAGTATGAATTTAATCAGCTGCTCAAGAAGCAGAAAGGAAAAAGCCTTCTGATGGGACCTCAGGACTTTGGTGTCAAGAACCTCCATTCATGAAGTATGGAGTTTCCACTGTAACTGGAGGCAGAGAGAGGGTGAATTGAGAAGGGCCCTATAGACCATCCGACAATTCCTGAAGCCTAGGCATGCATGGCCCTGAGCTCCTTCAGCCACATAGCCGGGACCCACCCCTCACAGCATTGGGCTGTCAGCCTCTGTGCCCTGGAGGCATTACTGAGTAACCATAGGACTGCTAACTGCCAGGTCAGCGGTTCAAATCCACCAACTGCTCCTCTGGAGAAGGATAGCCCACACAGGGTAGATGTGAGCAGACGAGATGGTAGTGGGTCCACTTGGAGCAAGGACAACGCTGTTGGCTCCTGGAGGGTACAGACTGCATCTGCTTTCTTCAATAGTAACTCCTCCATGCATGTCTGTTAAGGGACTGAATTACAAAAGAGAGAAGCCAGCTGTCAGGAATTTTATCGAGGATTTGCGTGCAGTGCTTTGGGCTGTCTTTCCTTCTTTGATATGTTTTTTTTTTTTCAGACTAAAGAGGAAGAAATAAGGAAACGACTGCGCAGTGACCGGCTTTTGCCCTCCGATCAACGTCTGGACGCAGTGGAAGTGGGTGGGGGCACCACTCCCTTTGCCAGGGGACTGAGGACTGTGAGCTCTGCTGGACTGGAGCCATCTGACAGGCAGGGAGGGGAGCCACTGAGGAGGAAGAAGAGCAGGGGTGAGGCAGCCTCGAGCGATTTGAAGCACAGTTATGAAGGGATGGGTGTCGTGGAGTCAGACATGTCCTACAACCAAGCAGATGATGTCTTCTACTAACCCACAGGAACTTAATAAAAAAGACAAAAGAAAGCGATTCCCTCCGGCTGTGACTTTTTTCCCATATGCCTCACATTTCCTTGGTCTGGCCTCACCCCACTGGGAATTCTGGCTTACACTTAGGAATGAGTTCACGCAGAGCACAGATTGGAGGTTAGCTGGCCCAATGAAATGGCTATGCTATCAAATTTTTTCAAAGGAAGATTTGACCAGCTGAGCTATTGTAAGGATGGCATTCTCTTGTAGGGTGGCGGCAAACATTGTGGGGGGAGGATGTCTTTAATGCTATGAGCTCTTTCTCATCTATAGGAGCCTTCGTGGCAGAGTGGGTTACACACTGGGCTGTCAGCCACTGCGGGAGAAAGATGGGGCTCTCAACTCCCATGAAAGGCCACAAACGATCCTTGAACTAACTACAAGCTTTTGTCATTGGTTTGTTGTTGTTTTGTTGTATATTGTTGCTTGGTTTTGCTCTGTCTTGTTTTTGTACATGTTATTATCTCTGCAGGTCTGTCTAAATAAGATAGGCTGGATGAACAATCTGGAGGAGAAAACAACGGGAC